ACCAGCGCAGCCGACGGACAAGCAAAAACAAACAAAAATAAACAAAACCATGGATGGGGCCCGCCGAAGGGCCGAGCTGCCGCGGGGCGGCGGGCGAGCCTGGGGCGACCAGTGCAGCCGACGGATAAGCGAAAACGAACAGAAACAAAGAAAGCCAGGGAGTGGGGCCAGCCGAGGGGCCGAGCGACCGAAAGGCAGCGGGCGCGCGCAGGGCGACCAGTGCAGCCGACGGACAGGCGGAATCAAACAAAAACAAACGAAACCAATGAATTGGGCCAGCCGAGGGGCCGAGCGACCGAACGGCGGCGGGCGGGCCCGGGGCGACCAGGGCAGCCGACGGACAAGCGAAAACAAACAAAAACAAACAAAACCAATGCATTTGGCCAGCCGAGGGGCCGAGCGACCGCGGGGCGGCGGGCGGGCCCGAGGCGACCAGTGCAGCCGACGGACAAGCGAAAAACAAACAGAAACAAAGAAAGCCAAGGAATGGGGCCAGCCGAGGGGCCGAGCGACCGAAAGGCGGCGGGCGTGCGCAGGTCGACCAGTGCAGCCGACAGACAAGCGAAAACAAACAAAATACAAACAAAACCAGTGAATTGGGCCAGCCGAGGGGCCGAGCGACCGAACGGCGGCGGGCGGGCCTGGGGCGACCAGCGCAGCCGACGGACAAGCGAAAACAAGCAACAACAAACAAAACCAATGCATTTGGCCAGCCGAGGGGCCGAGCGACCGCGGGGCGGCGGGCGAGCCTGGGGCGACCAGTGCAGCCGATGGACAAGCGAAAACAAACAAAAACAAACAAAACCAATGCATTTGGCCAGCCGAGGGGGCGAGCGACCGCGGGGCGGCGGGCGAGCTTGAGGCGACCAGTGCAGCCGACGGACAAGCGAAAACAAACAGAAACAAAGAAAGCCAGGGAATGGGGCCAGCCGGGGGGCCGAGCGCCCGAAAGGCGGCGGGTGTGCGCAGGGCGACCAGTGCAGCCGACGGACAAGCGAAATCAAACAAAAACAAACAAAACCAGTGAATTGGGCCAGCCGAGGGGCCGAGCGACCGAACGGCGGCGGTCGGGCCTGGGGCGACCAGCGCAGCCGACGGACAAGCGAAAACAAACAACAGCAAACGCAACCAATGCATTTGGCCGGCCGAGGGGCCGAGCGACCGCGGGGCGGCGGGCGAGTTTGAGGCGACCACTGCAGCCGACGGACAAGCGAAAACAAATAGAAACAAAGAAAGCCAGGGAATGGGGCCAGCCGAGGGGCCGAGCGACCGAAAGGCGGCGGGCGTGCGCAGGTCGACCAGTGCAGCCGACGGACGAGCGAAATCAAACAAAAACAAACAAAACCAGTGAATTGGGCCAGCCGAGGGGCCGAGCGACCGAACGGCGGCGGGCGGGCCTGGGGCGACCAGCGCAGCCGACGGACAAGCGAAAACAAGCCGAAACAAACAAGACCAATGAATGGGGCCAGCCGAGGGGCCGAGCGACCGCGGGGCGGCGGGCGGGCCTGGGGCGACCAGTGCAGCCGACGGACAAGCGAAAACAAACAAAAAACAAACAAAACCAATGAATTGGGCCAGCCGATGGGCCGAGCGCCCGCGGGGCGGCGGACGAACCTGGGGCGACCAGTGCAGCCGACGGACAAGCGAAAACAAGCAGAAACAAACAAAACCAGTGAATTTGGCCAGCCGAGGGGCCGAGCGCCCGCGGGGCGGCGGGCGAGCCTGGGGCGACCAGCGCAGCCGACGGACAAGCGAAAACAAACAAAAACAAACGAAACAGTGGAAAGGGGCCAGCCGAGGGGCCGAGCGACCGCGGGGTGGCGGGCGAGGCTGGGGCGACCAACGCAGCTGACGGACAAGCGAACACGAACAACAACAAACAACATCAGGGAATTGGGCCAGCCGAGGGGCCGAGCGAGAGAACAGCGGCGGGCGAGCCTGGGGCGACCAGTGCAGCCGACGGACAAGCGAAAACAAACAAAAACAAGCAAAACCAATGTATTTGGCCAGCCGAGGGGCCGAGCGACCGCGGAGCGGCGGGCGAGCCTGAGGCGACCGGTGCAGCCGACGGACAAGCGAAAACAAACAGAAACAAAGAAAGCCAGGGAGTGGGGCCAGCCGAGGGGCCGAGTGACCGAAAGGCGGCGGGCGAGCCTGGGGCGTCCAGTGCAGCCGACGGACAAGCGAAAACAAACAAAAACAAACAACATCAGGGAATTGGGCCAGCTGAGGGGCCGAGCGACCGAACGGCGGCGGGCGGGCCTGAGACGACCAGTGCAGCCGACGGACAAGCGAAAACAAACAGGAACAAAGAACGCCAAGGAATGGGGCCAGCCGAGGGGCCGAGCGACCGCGGGGCGGCGGGCGGGCCTGGGGCGACCAGTGCAGCCGACGGACAAGCGAACACAAACAAAAACAAACAAAACCAAGGAATGGGGCCAGCCGAGGGGCCGAGCGACCGCGGGGCGGCGGGCGTGCGCAGGGCGACCAGTGCAGCCGACGGACAAGCGAAAACAAACAGAATCAAACAAAACCAGTGAATTCGGCCAGCCGAGGGGCCGAGCGACCGAACGGCTGCGGGCGGGCCTGGGGCGGCCAGTGCAGCCGACGGACAAGCGAAAACAAACAAAAACAAACAAAACCAATGCATTTGGCCAGCCGAGGGGCCGAGCGACCGAAAGGCCGCGGGCGGGCCTGGGGCGACCAGTGCAGCCGACGGACAAGCGAAAACAAACAGAAACAAACAAAACCAACGCATTTGGCCAGCCGAAGGGCCGAGCGACCGAAAGGCTGCCACTGCGATCGACGGACAAACGAAAACAAGCCAGAACAACCGAAACCAGCCAAGGAATGGGGCCATCCGAGGAGCCAAGCGACCTAGCGCTACTGCGCGCCGCTGAGACAGGGCCCGGAAATTTGCAATCTACTTCTTGTAATTGCTGTTGCTGTTGTTTTTTTGGGCGGCCCCGAATGCAATCTACTTCTTCCGCCTTCCTACTTCATGTTTCTACCTACTTCTTCCGACCGGTGGGTAGGGTAATTTAGTTCTGGTGGCCAGAATTATATTGTCGCAATCGATCCTGATTCATCGTGCGGTCACGCAGTGGAGATAGTTTGTGAAAGCAAGCAGGATAACTTCGAGTGTCAAGCCAGGTCGGGGGCCAGGTTGCGGGCTGGACAATCTCCAGGCCACAACTGCCCTTGGACATGTCCCTTCGAAGCTGCAAGTGGAATACCACAGTTGCACCCGTGCGGTTAGCCTCTCTCGACTCTTTCTTCCCTCACTTGGTCTAGTGGCATCTGGGCCATCCCGCCACTGCCTTTGTGGCCTCTGGGATGTCTCTGGGGAGCCTCTTGGGCCTTGGGGTGTCTCGGCCTCAGCCCCCCCTCCCACGCCACAACAAACACACGTGGATAGCTGTTCTGCACGGCTAGGGCCTTGGGAGGCCCATCGGTCACACTTCGGAAAGGGCACGGGAGCGCCCAACCATCCGCCGTAGCGATAGTTTGTATCGAACGGCCTCCGACCCCTCCGCCACCGTGCCTGGGTTGTGGGCCAGGGTTCTCCGGGATGCTTCTTGGGGTCTCCTCGAAGCGCACTTGGTGGCCCCTTGGCGGCAGCTTAGGGGCCTTTTGTCAGAGCGTGAGTTACCTACCCCGCTTTCGCTTCCAGGCAAAACCAAGTCATACCACGCGCCTCCTCGTCCAGCGGCCTGGCCAGTGCAGGCCGTAGTAAGGCATCGCTTGGTATCTTTTGGAAGCGAGGGTGGTCAAAAGCGAGGTAGGTTCGTTTTCCCCCTTATTTTGGGAGCCTCTCGGGGGCCTCTTTGGGGACTCTTGGGGGCCTTGGGGGCCGCTTGGGGGCCTCTTGGGGCCTCCTGGGTGCCCTCTGGGCCGAGGGCTCGAAATGTGCGCTCGGGTCCCCCAGCTGGGCTCCCTTTTTGGAGCCGTCTTTCGGGCCTCTTGGGCGCCTCTTGGGCGCCTCTTGGGCAGTCTCGGGGCCCCTCTTAGGCCGTTTTGCTCGGGGGTGGACAGAACCCCCAACAGTGACACGTCGATTAGTGAATTGTCCGTTTTCGGTTCTCGAGAGGGCGCCGTGGCCGTTATTTTCCAGGCTTGCGCCCGCCAGGTTTGGGCCTCAGGCCGTTTCCACTAAACCACGTTTTACTAAAGGGGGGTCTGTCCATCTCCGATTTGGGGCCCTCTTGGAGGTCTCTGGGGCCGTCTTGGGGCGATCTTGGGGGCTTCTAGGGCCGTCCAGGTCCAGGCCTTGGCAAAGACCCTTGCTTACTCTTCGCAGATGCGTGTGCTCTGGGACACTCCACCGTGAGCTCGCCTTCTTCCCCTTTCCCATTTTTTGGGGCGGGTCCAACAAGAAAGCACCGCGTAAACTGAAACTTTCGGAGCTCAGCGCGGATTTCTTGGATCTGCATTGGGCCCCCCTGGCGGCGCCTCCTGCGCTGCCCCTGGCGCGTTCCGCGCGCCAGGGAGGGAGGTCCAGCGCAGATCCAAGAATCCGCGCGGAGCTCCGAAAGTATGAGTCTACGTGTTTTGTTTTGTTCTGTTCGTCCCATGCTTGGAAGGAAGGAGCGCAGCGGAGCGGAGCGGAGCGGCCAATAATCCGTCCGGCGGGACGGCTCCGTAGTGCGCTTCGCGCACGGAAAGGCCGTACATGTGCGCGGTGCTGTGGGACCGTGAAACATTGAAACGTCAGACGCTGGAGGACACACGCACGAAGGCAGAGAGGGACGCACGACAATCGAGGATGGGAGGCGGAGGCAAAGGAGAGGGAGGGACGAACAACGTGAAGGACGACGGAGGGCACGCCAACGAGAAGGCGTGCAAAGCCCCAAACAAAAAGAATGAAGGACAGCCGATGGATGGAGTAAGAGACCTACCTAGGAGGAGGGAGGAGGAGGAGGAGGAGGAGGAGGAGGAGGACCAGGCAAATCCGCTCAGGTTGGAGGCCGCGCCGCATACTGGAGCAAGCGTGCCGCGAGGTCTATCAAGGAGCTGCCGGTGTTTGCGATCACGGCGGCCTTCTCTATTTTCGCATATGTCTGGCTGGTATTTATTCTTATCGTCGTGCCGTCGGCCTAGCTGCTCAGTTCCCGATACTCGAGGAAGACAAATGCATAAACATGTTTTGGTTATTCGACAGCCCGCGCTGACTTTATTGAGTCTTCACTGGAGCCTGGCGGCGCATCCGACGCCGCCCCTGGCGCGCTTCGCGCGCCAGGGAGGGGGGTCGGTCCAGCGCAGGTCCAAGACACCTGCGCGGACCGTCGCACAATTATGTCTAGGCTTGTCTTCCTATGGGCATAGGGGGAGTGGCAATAGGTGCTTGCACCTTTCGCGGTGGAGTGGCCACTTCTGCCCAGCAGGTTCGGTAATGTGCTGAGTTTTGCTGCACGGCATAATTAGTTTGGATACTGAGCGCATCGAAGTTTCGACCAATCTTGGCCATGCGCGAATTGTTCAGATCGTATGATCCACATGTGCTGACGCACTGTACATGGTGTCATGTGCGCATTCCTGAGACAGTGGGGAGATGATCGATGCCGCTTACACCCATCGAGAATATACGACTGCGCAATTCAGATGTATTTCCCATGCGTTGCGCTTCCTTCGTGGTGCCTGTGATCTAGTTGTTCGTTCCAGTGGGGGTGGGCTTCGTTTGTGTGATGTGTCCAGTGAGGTCAGAACTCTTTTGTCGTAGTTGTTGCCTCACCTCTTCACTGCGACCCTATAATATTACGCTTGTTCTTGCTATCGATGTGTCATTGTGCTTGCGCAGCTAAGGTCACCACACGTGGTGGAATGGTGGGAGGGTCTGTTGACGTTTCTGTTTTTTCCGGTATTGGTTATTCTCGCGTATGCAGCAGACAAGGGCTGGCTCAACAAATGTTTGGGTCGCACTGTCGGGACAGCCCCCCGGCCATCCTCGTGCTGATTGTTCACCTATCATGCGTATCGTGTCGTTTCTGTTCTTTCTCACTCTCTCTCACTCTGTCCCTTTTTCGCTTTCTTTTCGTTCTCTCCGTCTGTCTGCCTCGTGCGCGGTATCACACGACTCGCGTCTTGCTTCCCAGGTCACAAGTTATTGCACGAGCTCGTTTTGCGTCAGGGATGTTCGTGTAGCAGTTTTGGATTTACTTTTCATTCTTACGTTGTGGTGCCCATCGCATTAAGGGGAGATATTGTGCAATCGTGGCATCAGCCCCTCTGGCATGGTGCAGAAACACAATTCCCATGGATTGCGGGATCGTCGCTCCAGTACTCTGAGCGGTTCGTCAGTTCTTGACGGTTCGTTTTTCCCCGCCAGCCCATCCAGAACCGATGCCTAGACGAGTTGTCGTGCGAGCCTCGAAGAATCACTATGGAACCATCTTGGGTGGACGGGGAAGGGGAGGAGGAGCAGGAGAACGAGAAGGAAGGGACAAGGGGTGACGCCTTCGCGGATTTCCTGGTCTTGGATCGTTTTACAGCAATCTTGCGACATGGAGGCATTGTGCCCACCTCTTGGTGCCTTGAGGGGTCTGTGAGGAGGTCTTGTGGCCCTGTTGGGGCGATCTAGGCGCCATGTGTTTGAAAAGGGCTGGGCCCTTACTTAATTAGTCCTCCCTCCCTCCCTCCCTTGGAGGCCGACAAATTGTATCGAAGAGTGCTCTTAGGCAGTCTTGGGGCACCTCTGGGCTCTTCTTGGGGCGCTCTTTGGCAATCTTGGGGCCATCCTGATGCCCCCAAGGCCCATCCGAAGCGAATAGACGAGACGAGCCCATCCGAAACCTGCTTATGACTTCATGTTATTCTTGCCTCTCGAGGGGATCCTCGCGGAGCTCCAGGCGATCTTGGAGCCGTCTTGGGGCAATTTCGGAGGTATGTTCGGGGCTACCTGGACCCATCGTCAGCTAAATTGGGCCATCCTGGAGACCCTCTTGAAAGAGGAGGAGGAGGAGGGAGGAAAATAATCGGGGTAAACCCCTCATTAAATAGGGGAAACATTGGGATTGAAACAAGGACGACACATTCCGTTATACGGTCGAACCGAGGTATAAGATCGAGGTCGGTTCAGGGAGGGTACCCTAGTGTTTTTCGTGCTCGTTGGATGTTACTGTACATCCTGGGGGAGGGTGATTTCGAATGCTCTTAACTCGCAGAACGTCTCATGGTATTGAAGATAAGTTTCTGTCCCAGGTCCGACCGTAGGGGAAACATTTGGATTGGAAGACGGAAGATGCACTCCTTTATACCACTTGTGGCAGGCAGGAGTCTGAGCTCCTTCCATCTGTGCACGCGCGCACGAGCAAGTGCATGTTGTTAACTTGAACTCCCCCAGGGGAGGCGGACACCGCCGCCCCAGTGCTCGTTGGAACGCGGCCGCTTTGGTGCGGATGTGGGAGGCCGTGAACCCCGAGACCAGACTCGGCGAGGCGCGCCACGAGCAGCCTCGGGGGCACGGCGAGAGCTCCAGAGACGAGCCTGCCCCCGGAAGCCGCGCGGGGGCTCTCCTGGAGCCGCCAGGGCCGCCGCCGAGAGGCCCGAGAAGCCCCCCCGGCCGCCGGCGGGCTCGGCCCGGGAAGGGCGCCGGGGGCGCCCAAGGAGGGGCAGCACAGTGGACCAGGATGGGGCCTCCTCCTCCTCCTCCTCCTCCACCTCCTCCTCCTCCTCCTCCTCCTCCTCCTCCTCCTCCTCCTCCTCCTCGTGGGCCGAGTGCGCCCCGATTGGGCCGAGTGCGGCTCGGGCCGGACGGAAGGGGGGGATTGGGAAAAGGGGGGGGTACGAAATTTGCTGCATGCTGCTGGTTTCGGCGCCCCGCCGAGGGGTCCACTCCTCGATGCTTGGCCGCCTCCCGGCGCCGGGAGGCGCCGGGGAAATCAGCTACGCGAGCTGATTCTCAAACCCCTCCTTTGCTATCCCCCCCTTTTGCCCGACCCGAGCGGCGGAGGGGGGTGAAGGAGGGGGGCGGGAGGAGTGCATGTACCCGAGACGTGCCCAACCTCTTCTCCACGGGAGGCGAACATTGGTGTCCACGTTCCGTACACGAGGTCGCATCGCCGGACGTGCGCGATCTGCGGTTGCGAGAGCCATGGCTGCTGCGGCGATCGGTGTTTGTTCTTTGGGGCAATTACCCGCGCTGGCGTTATGATGTTCCGACCTTCTTTAGCCTCGGTCACTCGAATTTCGAGCACCAGGGAACTGGAGGGTTTTCACGTGTCGGGCCCTGGGAGGCGATACTCGTTCGACACCGTTTCGATACTCTTCTGGGTGCTCGGAATTATTTCTGGGATGTAGTCCTTAAGTGCGATGGGAACCACAGGGCTGGACCTAAACGTTGTGTTGCTGGACTTCGGCTGTGTGTTGTTTCTCGTTTTGGCAGGGAGTTACAGGAAAACGGGTAGAGCAACACGAAACACATAACGAAACCACAACAAACAACAGTCCAGGCCTGGGGAACCACATAGCGCTGGCGCTCAGAGTTGAACTGGAAGCCGTTCGATAATGTCTTGTTCGGTCGCAAAAGCCCAGGCTCAGCAGGCGCGGCAAGAAATCATGCCCGGAGCCAGGTAGCGGGCACCCGCTGGCCTTTGCATTAAGTCGGACACGTCCCTCCGGAGGAGAAATATTCCAAGATCGTCGAAAAATAGTACGGGGACGATTTTTTGAGTACTTCGGTATATTTGTTGTTTATTCTTTCCCGCCCAAAATCCCCGCCTGTAGGAGGACACGCCCGACCTAACCTCAGCAGCGTTCTTTTTCCTCCGCGTCTGGTCTGCGTCAGGGGATTTTTTGAGATGTACGGCTGTCCTTCAGCGCCCACCAAACCACGCCAACCCGACCCGAAGGCCCCTATTTGCCCTCCATTTCCAGTGGGGGGGGTCGCGGAACATTGACAAAACGCATATGGAGCCCGTACCCCCCCAACCCGAGATTCGGGTCTTCGGTTTGGGTTGGGGTGGTCTGGTAGGGAGTTAGTCCTGGGACGCTGTTCCGTCAAGGTTTTCCTCGCGGGTGCTCCTCCGAGACAGCTCCAGGGGCGCCGGAAAATATGGGAAAATTTGGGAAGTGGGGGGGAAGACGAACATCCAAAAAATATAGAGACAAATTTGGGAATCCTGGGATTTGTGTGCATTCATTTGTGTGTCCCTGGGCCCCTTCACCACACTTGGTCACTTGTGGAGACTCTGGCGGGGCCGCGGTGGGGCCTCCCCGCCTGCGCGCAAAAAGTCGGAGCCCACCGGGGCGCCCCCGAGGCCACGCCCGTTGAGAGCCTCTGGGCGCTCGGGGGAAGCAGCTGGCCAGCCGGTGGGCCAAAGCGGGGGCCCGTCTGGGGGGTTTCTCCGAAGGGCTCAGGCGTCCCGTCCTCCGCCTCCTCGTCCTCGTCCTCCATCTCCTCCTCCTCCTCCTCCTCCTCCTCCTCCTCCTCCTCCTCCATCTCCTCCTCCTCCATCTCCTCCTCGCCCTCCCCCTCCTCCATCTCCTCCTCTCCTCCTCCTCCTCCTCCTCCTCCTCCTCCTCCTCCTCCTCCTCCTCCTCCTCCTCCTCCTCCTCGGGTCGCCTACGGCCCCGGGGGAAACCGTGCAAGCGAGCGGAGCCACCTGGTCACTTGTGGAGGCTCTGGTGGGGCCGCGGTGGGACCTCCTCGCCTGCGCACAGAGTCAGAGCCCACCGGGGCGCCCCCGAGGCCTCGTCCGTTGAGGACCTCTGGGCGCTCGGGGGAGGCAGTTGGCCAGCAGGTGGGCCAAAGCTGGGGCCCGTCCTTCGAACAACCAGTACAGAAACATAGATTTGTGGCGCTCCGCGCGGATTTCTTGGATCCGCGCTGGGGCACCCACTGGCGGCGCCTCTGGCGCGCCCCTGGCGCGCTCCGTCCGCCAGGGAGGGGGGTCGGGTGCGGATCCAAGAAATCAAGAAATCCGCGCGGAGCGCCAACAGTTTATGTCTATGTGTTTTTGTTCCTCTTCTTCTGGACAGGTGGGCCAACGCTGGGGCCCGTCTCCTGGCGCTCCCAGGGGAATTGAGGCATTGGTTCTGAGGCCCGCGAGGCGCAGGGCAGAGGGCGTGGCGCTGCGGCTCGGCGGGCCGCACGAGGGGCTGCGCCGGGCAGGCCTCCGGGCGTCCAGGCGGAGTTGGAGGCGCGGTCGATGCCGGGGCCGTGTCTGACTTGGAAGGAGGCGCCTCTCAGCTGGAGCCCGAGGATCGGGGCACGAACAATGCCATAAACATAGTAACTCGGAGGTCCGCGCGGATTTCTCGGATCCGGAGGTGGATAGACCTCCTACCCTGACACGTCGATTAAGGAATTGGCCGTTTTCGGTTCGCGAGATGGCGTCGCGGCCGTCATTTTTTCGGGTCCAGGTCCGTCGGATTCGGTCCAAGGCCGTTTTCACTAAGGGGAGGTCTACTAAAGGGAGGTTTGTCCACCGCCGACGGATCGGCGCTGGGGCCCCCTGGCGGCGCCTCCGGCGCCGCTCCCGGCGCGCTCCGCGCGCCAGGGAGGGAGTCCAGCGCGAGTCCAAAAGATCCGCGCGGATCGTTGAGTTCTTATGTTTATGCCATTCTTCGCTCCCTTAAAGAAGGCACAGGCCTTGGAGAAGCACTGCGAACGCAGAGCTGCCCTCTTGTCTCGCACCGCCCTCCCGCCATAGCTGCACCCCGAGGCTGAGGAGGCCCCGGCTTCCGTGGCGGAGCTTACCGCTGCTGGGAGCGCTGGCCGCCATGAGCCTTGGCTATTTTTCCAGGTGCATGAGATCGTGAAGGCGTCTGCGCATGGGCTCGAACAAGAACCGCCGGTTTGGTTTTGCAATGTTTGTGGCGCCAGCGTGCACAATTGCTGAAGGTCTGGTTCAGGCCTGGCAGCGTCTTGTGAAGAGAATGCCCATCTTGGGTTAGCAACTACTCAAAGGAGCAGGCTTCGGCGAGGTCTACATCCTAATTCGACGCAGTCCCCACCCCTCAAGCTCGAGTCAGTCGTTATTCCTTCGTTGGACTGTCTGGCCGTGTGGCCGTGTGGGTAGGGAAGTTGCGCGTGTCTTCTGTTTTGGGTCTAGAGGCTGAGGGATGTTCTTACGGGCTCGACGTTCTCGAACCCATGAATATATGTATAGGGTGTCTACGTTGCGTGGTTTCCAGGATACGAGGGATGTGGTGCTATGGTCACCCTTGGAGCGAAGCAAGAAGGCCATTCTGGAACAGGTCCATGGCTGACTCGGGCTCCCCCTCACCCTAACTTCAATGATTCGGTCCCGGAGGATGCGAGGGAGCATTGTTCCATTGTCTGATACACCCAGATTCACCCTGTTTTTGTTCTCTCTCTCTCTCTCTATATATGTATATGTCTCTCTCCCTCTATCTCTCATTCTCTCTCGTTCCCTCTTTCTTTCCCTCTCTCACTCTCTCGCTTTCCATGTCCTCCCTTTCTCCCACCCCTTCCCTTTCTCTCTCACGCATGTCCTTTCCCTCTCGCCCTCACTCTGTCCATCGGTTCTCCATCTCCTCATTTACAGGAGTACTGATTCACAGACCAAGCTGGTCCTCACCCCGGACACGACCCAGCAGGAGAAGGCAGAGATGGTGGCGTTCATACGGGCGAAGTATGGTAAAGGCGCGGGGCAGAGGAGGATGCATGGAAAGACGAGCGGGATGAGACGGAGGAGTAGAAGGACCAACCTGAGGATGATGCGGGACAAAGGGGGGACAAAACAGCGGGAGGAGACGGAAGAGGAGAAGGAGTAACACAAAGAGGAGGAGCAGGAAGAGGAGGAGGAGGAGGATGAGAGGAAGAGGAGGAGGAGGAGAAGGGAGGATGCGGCGTGAGAGATAGTAGGAACAACATAATACTAATGAGAAGGACAACGAGGAGGATGACACAGAGGATAATGGTGATGCTGATGATGATAATGATGATGATGATGATGATGATGCTGATGATCATGATGATCATGATGATCATGATGATCATGATGATCATGCTGATCATGCTGATGATCATGATCATGATCATGATGATGATGATGATGATGATGATGATGATGATGATGGTGATGGTGATGATGATGATGATGATGATGAGGATGCTGATGAGGATGAGGATGAGGATGAGGATGAGGATGAGGATGTTGATGAGGATGAGGATGAGGATGAGGATGAGGATGAGGATGAGGATGAGGATGAGGATGAGGATGATGATGAGGAGGAGGAGGAGGAGGAGGAGGAGGAGGAGGAGAGGATAGGACACGGAGGAAGATAAGGGATAATTCGGATGGAGAGATAGTAGGATGATAAGAAGGAGGAAACAGAGGAGGAGGAGGAGGAGTTGGAGGAGGAGAAGGAGGAGGACGAGGACGAGGACGAGGAGAAGGGGAGAAGGAGGAGAAGGGAAGAGGAGGAGGAGGAGGAACTAGGTGGAAAGAGGAGGAGCGAGGAAGAGGAGGAGGGGAGGAGGAGGAGAAGGAGGAGCAGCAGCAGCAGCGGCAGCAGGAGGAGGACGAGGAGGAGGAGGAGGAGGAGGAGGAGGAAAAAGAGGAGCAGGAGGAGCAGGATGTTGGGGCATCCTCGCGTGCCCGCGGGTGCATCGCTGCTGTTGCCTAATCTCCACCTCCTCTGCTGTCATGGACCCCGCGCTCTGCTGTGCCGCCTCTGCCCGTTCAGGGAAGGAAGAGGAGCAGGAGGATCGGAAGCCGGGCAAGGGCTGCTATATCCGTGGCTGCTTAAATCGACCTCCCGGAAGTTGTCTTCGCCCTTCCGTGAAGAAGCCCGTTGACTGTTTCGCGTGCCGCGCCTCATTCCGGGAAGTTGTTTTTCCCAACCCTCTTGCGTTGGGTTCTCGTTTTGAATACAGTACTGCTCGCGCGAATCCCGCCCCCCTCTTCCCCCCTGCCTTTTACCTGGCTCGTCGCTGCGTTTCGAGGGCTGCTGGGGGCTGCGATCTGTGAAACTGTCGCCACTTTCGAGGCCTGCTGGGGGGCCCAGCACAGTCTGCACCCGCGGCGGACTCAAATGGGACCTCGCCATCCCTGGGGGGCTGCGATCTGCGAAACTGTTGCCACTTTCGAGGGCTGCTGGGGGGCCCAGCACAGTCTGCACCCGCGGCGGATTCAAGTTAGACCTCGCCATCCCTGGGGGGCTGCGGTCTGCGAAACTGTCGCCACTTTCGAGGCCTGCTGGGGGGCCCACCACAGTCTGCACCCGCGGCGGACTCAAATGGGACCTCGCCATCCCTCGGGGCTGCGGTCTGTGAAACTGTCGCCACTTTCGAGGCCTGCTGGGGGGCCCAGCACAGTCTGCACCCGCGGCGGACTCAAATGGGACCTCGCCATCCCTGGGGGGCTGCGATCTGCGAAACTGTCGCCACTTTCGCGGCCTGCTGGGGGGCCCAGCACAGTGGGTACCCACGGCGGACTCAAATGGGACCTCGCCATCCCAGCACAGTCTGCACCCGCGGCGGACTCAAATGGGATCTCGCCATCCCTGGGGGGCTGCGATCTGTGAAACTGTCGCCACTTTCGAGGCCTGCTGGGGGGTCCAGCACAGTCTGCACCCACGGCGGATTCAAATGGGACCTCGCCAACCCTGGGGGGCTGCGATCTGTGAAACTGTCGCCACTTTCGAGGCCTGCTGGGGGGCCCAGCACAGTGGGTACACACGGCGGATTCAAATTGGACCTCGCCATCCCTGGGGGGCTGCGATCTGTGAAACTGTCGCCACTTTCGAGGCCTGCTGGGGGGCCCAGCACAGTGGGTACCACGGCGGACTCAAATTAGACCTCGCCATCCCTGGGGGGCTGCGATCTGTGAAACTGTCGCCACTTTCGAGGCCTGCTGGGGGGCCCAGCACAGTGGGTATCCACGGCGGATTCAAGTTAGACCTCGCCATCCCTGGGGGGCTGCGATCTGTGAAACTGTCGCCACTTTCGCGGCCTGCTGGGGGGCCCAGCACAGTGACGCCACACGCAGATTCAAATTAGACCTCGCCATCCCTGGGGGGCTGCGATCTGTGAAACTGTCGCCACTTTCGAGGCCTGCTTGCGGGGCCCAGCACAGTGACGCCTCCCAAGTAGCTTACACATCAAGTTGATTGTCCATACAAGTTTCGGCCAACTCATCGTTTCCATTGATACAAATGGGTTGGGTACGTCACAGGGTAATTTCCTTCCGGGAGGGCCGTTCTAGCAGCCACGGTTTTAGCAGCCCTCGCCCAGTTTCCTAGAGGAGGAGGGGGAGGAGGAGAAGAAGGAGGAGGAACAGGAGGAGAAAGAGGAGGTCGAGGAGGAGGAGGAGGAGGAGGAGGGGGGAGGAGCAGGAGGAGAAGGAGGAGGAGGAGGGCGGAGGAGAAGGCAGATGAAGGAGGACGGAGGAGAAGGTTCGAGACAGGAGGGGGAGCATTAAGATAAGGACAAGGAGGATATGGAGATGGAGATGGAGGATGAACGGGGTACTGGGGCCCGAAAGGCCACCTTGGATTCGGGAGGGGCTTCGGTTTGCGGGCCGTTCCTTAGATTTGGTCGGAGGACTTGCTCCTGGCCGAGGCTCGCCGTGGCAAGAACATTCCCTTCGTTCCTCACCTGGCTTGCTCTCTGATTGCACAATGGTTGCAGGCGCCCCGTTCGTCGCATTGCACTGGGCCCGCCCCCTGGTGGGCGTAGGCGCGACGAACCCCGTAGGGAGCAGCACATACGTGTAGCACCCCGCAGTTGCGGATGAGAGTGAGGGGGTGGCGAGGTCGTAGGCAGCGTGCGGGGCTCTGAAGAAGCCCACCGCAGGCCCTGTTCTTTGCCCCAAGCATCCTGTGTTGTTGCATCCTCGTTGTGAAGAGACAGCGCCCCGCGTCTCATTCCTTCCTCCCGCTGCCCCCTCCCTCCTCCCATCCTCCCCCACTTTGGCACACCCCTCGCATGCTTCGTGGTCCCATAGGGCGCCCCACCGAAGGCCCAAATGCCAGCGCTCGCATGCGCCCACCTCGCCCATTTGGGGACACCCCTCACACGCTCCGACGCCCCATAAGGAGCCCCACCGAAGGCCCAGATGCCAGCGCTCGCATGCGCCCACCGCGCCCATTTTGGGACACCTGTCACACGCTCTGTGGCCCCACAGGGAGCTCCACCGAAGGCCGGCACGCCAGCGCTCGCACGAGCCCACCGCGCCAAAGTTGGGGCGCCTCTTAATCGTTTCTTGGCCCCATGGGGAGCCCCGCCGAAGGCCCACATGCCAGCGCTCGCATGCGCCCACCGCACTCATTGTGGCACACCCCTCACACGCTTTGTCGCTCCATGAGGGGACTCCACCGAATGCCCAGATGCCAGCGCTCGCATGCGCCCACCGCAACCATTTTGGCACACCCTTCATATGTTTCGAAGCCAATTTTTGTCAAGCAAACCGTAGTACGAGCCCGCCGCAGGCGCCGAATTTTTCGTCAAAGCAATGGGTGGATCGCGGGTGGGTCGCGGGTGGGTTGCGGGTGAGTCGCTGGTAGGTTGCGGGTTTTGTCGTGGGTGGGTCGCGGGTGGGTCGCGGGCCGGTCGCGGACCGGGTCGCGCGTGGGACGTCGACAAACAGACAACACACAACACACAACAAGTCCCACCACCATCAACAACAACAGCAGCAACACCAGCAACAACAGCACCTTGAATTTCAGATTGTTCGCTCTTATCTGCTCGCGTGGCATTCAACACGTGTGTCCTGGACCCTCGATATCTGGCCTTGTCGTCTGCGACGGTACACCATTATAGGTATATCTTTCTTACCTGCACCGTATATTTCGTGCAGATCCCCCAGGGAGGGGAAGAGAGAACCGACAGGAGGAAGGGACAATGGGAAGGGAGGAGGATGGAACACGAGAGAAGGTAGCAGGAGGGGGCCCAGGAGCAGAAAGCACGTGGCAGAAGCAGACGGGCAGATCGGGCGGGTAGACCCTAACGGGCGGGGCGGGAAGGCGGATCCAGGCGGCCAGGTCGAGCAGGCGGGTTGCTGAAGCGTGCGTCCTGCATGATTCGTGAGGAACTCTCGAGCGACAACGCGATTCCCAAATAAATCATGAGCAATCCAGAACGAGAGCTTGATTCTCGAGTGTCGAGGACTGGCGTCTGCATAAATTGCGGTGAAGTCCCACGCGAAAGCGCCATTCCTGCGTACACTGTAAGGATTTCCCGCGCGAGAGCGCGATTTGGGAATACACTTTGAGGAACTATCAGGCGGGAGCCGCTGGTGTTGTTGTTGTTGTTGTTGTTGTTGTTGTTGTTGTTGGTGTTGGTGTTGTTGCTGTTGCTGTTGCTGTTGCTGTTGCTGTTGCTGTTGCTGTTGTTGTTGTTGTTGGTGGTGGTGGTGGTGGTGGTGGTGGTGTTGATGTTGTTGTTGATGATGTTGTTGTTGTTGTTGAATTCTCATTCTTGAAGAATAATTATTGTTGATCCCACCCCACTGGTGCACATTGATTTTTTTCGATTGAAGTGCCACCCCCGGGGCTCGCACCTTGTTTTTTTCTCAAGGAAAGTCTTCCTGCTCAAACTGTGCCCCTGCCCCCCGGGCTACAACAACAACGGCTCCCGCCTGAGACTTCCTCGATTTTTACTCAGGACCCCCGCTCCCGCCTGAGACTTCCGCGCAATTTACTAAGGAAAGGCGCTCCCGTCTGAGACTTCCTCGCAATGTAATCAAGACCCCCGCTCCCGCCTGAGACTTCCGTGCAATTTACGTGGGAACGGCGCTCCCGCCTGAGACTTCTTCGAATTTTACTCAGGACCCCCGCTCCTGCCTGACATTTCCGCGCAATTGACTCAGGAACGGCGCTCCCGCCTGAGACTTCCTCGCAATTTAGTGAGGACCCCCGCTCCCGCCTGAGACTTCCGTGCAATTTGCTCAGGAACGGCGCTCCCGCTTGAGACGTCCTCGCAACTTACTCAGGGCCCCCGCTTCCGCCCGAGATTTCCTCACAATGTACTCAGGACTGCGCTCTCGCGTGCGACGTCCTCACAAATTATTCTGGAATTGCGTTTCGGCGCTCAGGAACCACGCACGCGCCAAGGACGCCTTCACAACGTGGTATCTTCCCTCTTCCTTCGTCCTTCCCCCTCCCCTTCCTCCCACTCTCCCTCGTTCTTCCCCTCCTCCTCTTGCAGGGCCCGCGCCAATTCCAATGGCGGGCAGAGAGATGTACGCCCCCGAAGGATTGTCCGCCCGTTCCGGTTTGCCCGTACGTCTAAGCCCGCCGGCCCCAGCAAAGAGAAATAATCCCCCCGAAAGGGGTGTGATCGAAGACGAAGAGGGCGGGCATCGAGGGTGTAGGGTATACGTGTTGAATGACTCGCGGGCAAGTAAGAGCGTACAGCCTTAAAATGGTTGTTGCTGTTGTTGTTGTTGTTGTTGTTGTTGTTGTTGTTGGTGTTGGTGTTGTTGTTGTCGTTGTCGTTGTCGTTGTCGTTGTTGTTGTTGTTGTTGTTGTTGTTGTTGTTGTTGTTGTTGTTGTTGCTGTTGTTGTTGTTGTTGTTGGTGTTGGTGTTGGTGATGGTGTTGTTGTTGTCGTTGTGGTTGTTGTTGTTTCTTGTTATTGTCACTGTTGCCGTTATTGTTCTTGTTCTTGCTGAAGAAGAACTCTGAGGACTGAAGACGAGTTACGTTATGTGTGATCCCCCCTCAGGTAACATATGTGTTTGTTCAATTGTTGTACCCCTCTCGGGTTTCGCACCTCGTTTTCTATCAGGGATAATATTATTTGTCAGATTGTGTCCTTGGCCACCGGTTTACGACAAGGGCCGCTCCCGCCTGACGCCGCCTCGCAATGTACTGAGGAATCGCGCTCTCGCTAGGGACCTCCTCGCACTGGCGCCACGACGCCACATCATACACGTGATACAAACATAAAGACACCGCCGCCCAAACAATTCCTGTCTCCCCTGGCGACAACCGACTAGCAAGAGAGGGGAGGAAAAGGACAATCCACATCGAGCTATGCTTCGGCCAACAGCACAGACAGGTAAAGCAATTCAGACGCGCCTCGATCTCAGCATGGCGCTTCGGGATGAAACTCTGGATGCTCGCGCGAAGAAGGGCGAGGCCGAATCGTGCACCCGTGTCAGGAGCCAGATTGGTATGCCGACGAGAGTTATCTGTCCTGCCAGGCAGGCTCAGAGCAGCGCCCGAGACTCTCGTTGCCAAGCTCAGAATCGTTAAACCCTATCTCCCTGGGCCACCGCATGTCGGCCGGCCGCACCAACCCACCCTCCTCGGTGGAGAGAGGCCCCGCGAAACCCCGAGGGGACACGGCGAAACGATACTCGTCAAGGTCTCGCCCGCCGTGGCACCCCGTGCCGACATGGGTTACCGCAGCCTTGGGGAGAACTTGCGGTGGACGCGCGGGGCGCCTGTGAACGAGCGTCGACTTCCAGCTTCCAAGAAGCACGGCCCCCACCCCGGGTCGGCCCGCTCGAGGGCGGCACGGGCACGATGCGGGCTGGAGCCGCCGGCTCCTGCATGCCTGGCGTCGGGCATTCCCGTGTCTGGGGCCCCTCTTCCCCGGGGGCCCCCCCTCCGCCTCCGCGGGGGCCCGCCTCCGCGACCCGCAGGCAACCACCGGAATCAGTGCAGTCGGACCGAGGTATAAGATCGAGGTCTGTTTGGGAAGGGCACCCTACGTAGTGTTACTCGTGTCAGTGGGATGTTCTTGTGCATCCCGGGGAGGGCTCTCGGATAATGTGTGGGTTGTGGCCCGCGGATTGTCTCGTGTTCGAAGGGTGCTCTTCTGGCCCAGGTCCGATCTGTAGCTCACGCACCCGCTCGCTGGCGTCCCTGCCGCGGGACCCCCCCCCCGCGCAAGACCAGAACGTGAGGGACTACATGCAGGAGCTGATGCACTACGAGTTCGACCCCAAGCCGACCAGGGCGCAAATGCGAATGCAGGCGGCCCCTTGTCCTTCTCCTCTTCCTCCTCCTCCTCATCGTTCCTCCTCCTCCTCCTCCTCCTCCTCCTCCTCCTCCTCCTCCTCGCTCCTCCTCCCCCTCCTCCTCTTCCTCCTCGCTCCTCCTCCTCCTCGCTCCTCCTCGCTCCTCCTCGTTCCGCCTCGCTCCTCCTCGCTCCTCCTCCCCCTCCTCCTCCCTCCTTCTCGCTCCTCTTCCTCCCCCTCCTCCTCCTCGCTCCTCCTCCTCCTCCTCGTCCTCGTCCTCCTCCTCCTCGCTCCTCTCCCTCCTCCTCCTCTTCCCCCTCCTCAGCCGTTTCGGCTCGGGCTAGAACGAGTGAAGCTCGAGTTTGTCTCCGCGTACGTCGGAACGGCACGTGGGCGCGAACCAATTTTGTGCAACGACGAGAGCGGCGAGTCCGCCATCCAACTGCGCGGCAAGACCGCATCCATGGCAGCCAATGGCCACCAGCAGAAGCGCTTGCAGCAGGCGCACCAGTGGCTATGCAAGTGGTGCATCAACCCCATGACGGGTGAGCGTTTTTGGAACTATTTAGAAAAGAAGGAGTGCGGGTCCTGCGCGCAGCCCGCAGCCCAAGGGCCTCGTCTTCTTCGGCGCCAGGGAGCAGCCCGCAGGTAGTGCCCCTTCGGTCTCCGCCAAGAAGGTCGGCAACGAGCGCAAGGCAGCAGCAGAGGCTGATCTTTCCAAGGTCGCCCTCCAGGAACAGAGCCGCGAGAGCGCCAAGCTCAAGGAACTGCTGGCCGCCAAGCAGGGGCACGGGCCCGACGCCATGGACACCGACGAGGAGGCCGAACCCGACGCCCAAGCAGCGCTGGCCGAGCTTGCATCGGCGATCCAGGCCATCGGGAATCCTACGGACCCTGTTCTGGTTAAAGGCCAAGCAGGGCATGCTCCAGTAGCCAGCAGCAGGCCACGCTCTGAGCGAAGGTGCTGGCCGACAAGCCCATCGGGGCGAATCTGCGCCTCCTCACCAATCGATGCTCCGCGCTCGAGAGAAAGCGGGAGCGCCAGCAGGCTGCCGCCAACAAGTTCAAGAAGAAGTTGGCGGAGGCCCAGAAACAGATCGTGGAGGCCGAGGAAGCAGCGGCGGCGACATCAAAGGAGCTCCTGGAGGTCGAGGCTGCGAGGGCCACGGCGGCCGCGCAGGCGCGCTCCTCGCTGGGCTTGGTGCCGACGGCAACCTGCTTAAGAGTGTCCCCGCCAACTTTGAGCGGGCTGCCGCCGAGCGCGCCGCCGCCGAGCGCGCCGCGGGCAGCGCTGCCACCTCTGGCAAAGCTGCGCCAGGCGGAGCGCCGCAGCCCCAACCGCAGCGCCCAGAGCTTCGCGAGGTTGCTGCAGCCCCTCCACAGCCTGGCGACTTTGATGATTTGCTTGGTATCCAGCAGTTCTGGCAGGAAGCCCTCGGCGGGGACCCCCCGACGGACGAGATCCAGCTCCGCGCCGCCATCGGGCGGCTGGGCGGCGCGCTTGATTCGCACCAGAAGAAGGCCGAGACCAACCAAATGGCCGTGCCGCCCCCGTCCCTGGAGGAGGGCCTACGGGGCCCTCGACGGCGCCGGCGCGTGCTGGTGCTTCCTCTGGGGGCGGGTTTGCTATGGTTTCCTCCTCCTCAGCGCCGCCTTGTATATCCCCTGAAGGCCAGGGATGCGTCTCGCCTGGGCTGGGGGCAACGGCATGTTGGATGGAGGGGACGTCTACCCCCCATGATGGCCAGGGACATGCTTCCCCTGGGCCGGGGGCAGCTGCGAGTCGAGCGGCGCCTTCGGCGACCCGAGATGGCCAGGAATGCGTCTCCCCTGGGCTGGGAACAACAGCAGGTCGGAGGGCGAAGACAGCTTCTTCCCTAGATGGCCTGGGATGTGTCTCCCCTGGGCTGGAGACAGCGGCAGGTCGGATGGCATCTCCGACTAACCCCCCAGATGGTCACGGGCGCGCTCCCCCATGGGTTGGGGACAGCGGCGCGTCGAGTGGCGCGTGCCGCGTCCGTAGAGGAGGGCCTGCGGGGCCCTCGACGGCTCCGGCACGTGCTGGCGCTGCCCCCTGGGGCGGGTTTGCAGTGGTCTCCTCCTCCTCAGCGCCGCCTTGTATCTCCCCAGAAGGCCAGGGATGCGTCTCGCCTGGGCTGGGGGCAACGGCATGTCGGATGGCGCCGACGTCCACCTCCCAAGATGGCCAGGGATGTGCCTCCCCGGGGCTGGGGACAACGGCAGGTCGGATGGCGTCTACGACAAACTCCCCAGATGGTCACGGGCGCGCCCCCCCCTGGGCTGGGGACAGCGGCGCGTCGAGTGGCGCCGTCGGCTGCCTCCCCAGATGGCCAGGGATATGGCTCCCATGGGCTGGGGGCAACGGATGGTCGGAGGGCGTCGGCGGCTACTTTCCCCAGATGGCCAGGGGAATGTCTCCCGTGGGCTGGGGGCGCCGGCATGTCGGAGGGTGTCTTCGGCTGGCGTCAGAGCGCAAAGTCACAGTGAGCAGACGCCCCGCCAGTTTTCGCTTCCCGCGCTTCCGATGACAGCCCAGAGATGCGAGGGGGTGTCCCGCCAGATTTCGCGCCCGCGCTTCCGCGGCCAGCTGCAGTTCGGGCACCTTGCGTGGAGGCGGTGGACGCGGCAGTCGTGAGGCCCGCGGGCCCTCCGAGTGCCGCGGGCCCTTGCATCGGGGCTGCTGTCGGCGCGAGGGGCGGAAAGCGCGCCGCTGCTGGCGGGGCAGCGCGGGCGGGGTCTGCCCGCCACGAGGGGCGGCGCGTCGGCCAGGGGGCGGGGGGGGGCAGCTTTCTGAGCACCCCGAGGCCCCCCACCCCGAGGCACGCACAGCCTTGCGACCGTCCCATGGGGGGTGTCGACCAGGCGTGTCCAGGGGTTTCGACGGGTGCTGTCTCGGTCCATGGCGTAGCCTACTGGGGCTTCCGCGAGATCGGCCCGCGATGGCCAGGCCCCTCGGCGGGCCGCGCCTCGCGGGCGGGCAGTTGGCCAGGAGCAGGCCAGAGCGCAGGGGCATTTTCTTCATCTATTCAGATGGCCGGCGGGAGTGCTGAGGCCTGCCGCGGCGAGCACCTTCGCCATCAGCTTGCTTGACTACGCTCCCCCTTGGACTGGACCAGCGTTCATGCTTGCAGCGCCCGGCGCCGATGGAGTGGGCGGCGCGCCCCAGCCTTCTGGCCGATATGCTCGAGAAGTGCCTCGCGATTCGAGCGATGTCGGGGCGCTGGGGGAAGGGCGAGCGCCGCCTGCTATATCGGCGCGCCCAACGCTCCTCGCTAGGGAGCAAGAGCGCTCGCATGATTCGGGATGTGCCCCACAGTCTGAGGTGGTGAAGGGCAAAAGATACGTGGTCACGGCGAGCGCGTCCTCCGACGGCCCGCTGCTTGATTTGCTCGGCACCAATCAATATGGCAAGTCCATCTTAATGGTTCAGGAGCACCACGCTCTCGTAGACAAGTTGGCCGATGTCAGGGCCAAGACTGCTCTCAAAGGTTTCGACGGAGCATGGCACCCTGCTGCACCGACAGACCGTGGAGGCACTTTGTGTGGAGTGGCTTTCTATGGGACCAAGCAGTGTGCTGGTCTCTGTTCCTCCTGCTGGTCTCCCCCACGATGTGTGCCCTGGGCGTGTTGCAGCGACAAAGGTGCACTGGGGTAGGCCCAGCGGCATCGCGATGCTGTCTGCCTACCTGGTCGTCGACGCTGGCGCGCAGGGCGAGAACATTGGCATTCTTGGCGCCATAGCGAAGTGCCTCCACCAGCTCAACGCCCCGAACGAGCACTGGATTACCGGAGGGGACTGGAACACGGACTGCGATGAGTTGGACGATTGGTTCCATGCGGTACGAGGCATCAGGGTCGCCTCCGATTTGCCCACACGTATTCAGACAGTCCCAGGCACGACCAGGGATTTCTTCTACGTGTCCGAGAGCCCGGTGCCGCTGCCGGGCTCCGTCGATTTCCGCATGGGGACTCGTCTATTCCCGCGCCGCCCAGTCGAACTGGGGATCGCCGCCCAATCGAGGAGCTGTGCTGCAGGGTGCCTGTCGAGCCCCGTGCACTCACTTCCGATTATTCCCAAGGATGGTTGCGGTCGGTGTCCTCCAGTACGTGAATGGCGCATGATGCAAGCTATGCCCGACAACGCCAGTTCGCCAGAATGTCTACGTGCCCGAGAGCCTGGTGCCGCTGCTGGGCTGCGTCGACGTCCACAGGGGGACCGATCCGTTCCCGTGCCGCCCAGCCGAGCTGGGGTTCACCATCCAACCGATGAGCATGTGCTGCAGAGTGCCAGCCGAGCTCCGTGCGCTCACTTCCGACTACTCCCAAGGTTGGTTGCGGTCGGTGTCTTCCAGCACGTGAGTGGCGCATGATACAAGCTATGTGCGACCGCGCCAGGTCGCCCGAAGACTGAGCCTGCTGGGGCTCCTGTGTTCGCAGGCCTGGGTGCCGAGGTGTTAGACGGGAATAATATCATGGGGAGTTCGGGTCGCAAGCTCTATCTCGGTAGGGCAGGCCCACCTCGGCACGAGTGGAAGGACGCCGCGGAGCCGCGCCCCAATCAGCTGTCCGACCACAGCGCCTGGAAGGCGCTGGCGCGTTGGCTCCGCTACATGCGTTCAGCCAGAACCAACCTGCTGTCGCAGGTAGCCAGCTTGCACGACGGCAACTTCGAAGGTAATATCATGGCCATGTCCAATCAGCTGTATTTCCTCCACGGTTTCGCGCACAGGGTGTCCAGGACCCAGTGGGCGCTCGATCGAGTCTCCGCTGAGACCGGTCTTTCGTGACATACATGCCGTCGAGCATCGTCGGTGCCAACTTCGATAGTGTAGTTCAGGCCCTGATCGACGTCACGAGCACCAAGATCCACGAGCTGCTGGGTCAATCCAGTGCGGACGGGTTTGCCTGGGCGGAGAAGTCGTTCGTCCACGTTGTGGGCGCAGCCCATAGATTTTCCATGCTCAAGGAGCTCCAGGGGATTGCTGCAGACACCAC